TTTTAATTTTTAGTATAAATTAATATGAATTAAATTAATATTGATGTTTATAGATACTGTTGTCTATTTGATTAATATTAATAATATTTATTATTATTTATTATTATATGATAGACATTGTGCTAGAGACCAGGGATATGGATACAAAAAATAGGTATTCCCTACCTGCCTTCAAGAAACTTCTATTCTAATAAGAGGATACACTATATACAGGGGAACAGTGTCACAAGGGTTATAAATGCAGCCACAGGGCAGTGGGTGTGACTGCCTAGTCCAAAATTCCCTTCTCTGGAGATAACATTCCCCTGTGTATGGCAGGGGTATACTGGAGCCAGCTTTAATTGGCTCAGGAGAGCTGGTTGTGAAATTTTCAGTGCAAGCATTGTTTTTTTTTGTTTTGTTTTGTTTTTGTTTTTGGGTTTTTTTGGCTAGGCAATGGGGTTAAGTGACTTGCCCAGGGTCACACAGCTAGTAAGTGTTATGTGTCTGAGGCCGGATTTGAACTCTGGTCCTCCTGAATCCAGGGCTGGTGCTCTATCCACTGCGCCACCTAGCTGCCCCGCAAGTATTGTTAAACCTTGGGAATCAGCAAACACTACAAATCAGAGCTTGTTTAAACTTAAAGGTGTGTTTTGCGTACATTTGAAAAAAAAAAAAGGAATGGTTTTTAAACATTTACCAGCACACTGCTTTCTATTAGAATGTAAGTTCCTTAAGGGCAGGGTCCCCTCAACCACACTTTTGAGAACTTTTTTTGGTGATAGTTTAGCTGGGGTTCAGCTGATTCCTCTCAGTTAATTTTACTTTTTACTTTTTCAGGAGCCGGGATTAGTTTATTTTCTCATGTGGGAGAAGTGGAAAGGGTGAGAGATAGGTAGACAGCATGGTCCATGGCAAGATTCTGGACTAGGTAGGCTGTGGGGTCCTGTTGGATGGCAGGATGGGAGTTGAAGCACAGGCTGGGGTTGAAGACATAAAAATACACACATGTATACATAAACACAAAAGTGAGATAATAATTGTAAGGCACTCAGCACAGTGCCTGGCACATAGTAAGCACTATACACGTATTGGTGGTGGTGATGATGATGATGATGATGATGTCAAGCCCAGTCAAAGTCAATTTTCTTCCCAGCCCTCTTCTTCCCTTACTCCTACCCCTCAAAAAAGCACAAAATGCTTGAGCCATTTTTGCAGAGGTAGGCCACCAGTCAAGTGCCCAAGGCCCTGCAGTATGGATTGACAGGGAAATTGAGCCCTGGTTTCTTTCTTTTTCTTTAGGCAATTGGGGTTAAGTGACTCGCCCAGGGTCACACAGCTAGTAAGTGTCAAGTATTTGGTTTGAGGCCGCATTTGAACTCAGGTCCTCCTGACTTCAGGGCCGGTGCTCTATCCACTCTGCCACCTAGCTGCCCCACTGTGCCACCTAGGTGCCCCTGGTTTCTTGATACTATTAACCTTAACCTCAATTACACAGTACTGTGAACTGTGACAGCTATGTCTTGTGTAATTGTTTTTTGTCTTCCATTTGCCTTCTGATTAAGAATACTATCATTTGTCTAGTTTCTTCTCCTGGAAAATGGAAACATTACAATGGAAACATGCCGGTTTTTTGTTTTGTTTTGTTTCTATTTTGTTTGGTTTTTTAGGCTTCAATTTGGGTGGGAAATGAACATTTAAAGACGAGAGACAATTCCATGCAGAACTTGTATGCACATGTATGTACGGTCCTTTAGAATGTTTTAAAATGTGGAAACAAAGACAGAGTATCTGAAATGTTCTTTGCCTAAAACAGTTTTGTCATTTTGAAATGACCTTATTTTTAAACTCCATTCTTTTTTTCCTAAGGTTTTTTTTAAAGCCTGAAAAAGAGGATAATATTTTGCAATTGAAGTTGCAGGGGGCAAGCAGTTGGGGTAAGAAGGGTAGGATTAATGCATTCTTTTTGCTTCAAGAGGCTAAAAATAGTGTCTTGATTTTGAATTCTGGGCACCCAAACAGATCCTTCATAAAAGGTCCCTTTTCCTTCTTGTCAAGCTCAGTATAAATATGACCAGTGGAGAGGGACCTCTCAGTTCCTTGACTTCTCAGCCGTACAGGGTCATTTCAGCCATTCAGGTCAGCAGTTCTCAAACTTTTTGGTCTCAGGACCCCTTTACACTTTTAAAAATTATTGAGGACTCCCACACAGAGTTTTTGTTTATGTGGGTTATATCCATTGATATTTACCATGTTAGCAATTAAAACATTCTGGGAAAATAGTTTTAACCATGTGGACTCACTGAAAATGACTGGGGCAGGCCCTTAAGGGTCCCGGGATCACATTTAGAGAACTGCTGCTGTAGGTGATAGAGACAGCTGGGGCTCAGCTGATTCCTCTTAGCTAATTTTACCTCAAAGTTGAGACAAATGGGCAGCTTAGGGTTTGGTAATAGACTCAAGGAGATTTTTCAGATCCAGGTGACCTGTATGAACTTTCTAATCCTTCATCTGTTCAAAAGTTAAGGCTCTTTGCTCCTCCAGCTTCACTGACATGGGTCACACAGTCCTATTCTTAGCTGCCTTCTGAAAGGTTCATTTCCCACTGTGAGCCCTGGAGCAACTATCACTTTGCTTTTGCATTCTCCTGGGCTTTGACAATCCTAATGTCAATAAGAATGGTTTATTATAAATATATACTTTATAGTGCATAGAGCATTTTCCTTCCAGCAACCCTAAGTAGTGCAAATGATAGAATCATACCCAGCTGTAGAGCTGAAAGGAACCTCAGAAACTAAGTCCAAACTCCTCATTTTACAAATGGGGAGGGTGAGGCTCTGAGACATTAAGTGACTGACCCACAGTCATACCATTAGGCTGCTTCCCAGATGTCTTCGATGAACCTTTCTCCACAAAACCCACTAGCAACATTTATGAGAGACATGCTGTCTTTGAGAGATCACTGCCATCTATATTAGGCATCAGTTTTAACTTCTTTTTTTTCCTGAACACAAAAATGACATGCCTTCTATCATCCTTGTCCTTTTACATACACATAACATTTTTGCCTTAGATGGCAATGTTCTCTCATATCCAGTATATCACTCATAAATATTGCTAGTAGGTGTGTATACATACACTCACATACATACACACACATATATACATACCCATATATATCACATATATACACATACATATATATTTTTGCCTAATTTAGATGTCAGTGTTCATTCAAAGACAGTATGTCTCTCATAAATATTGCTAGTGAGTTTATACACACATATGCATATATATCACATACATATAAACAGATATATACATATACATTTACATAAATATATACAGACACGATAGATATATAGGCAGATAGACAGATAATGTAACAGGACTGTCTTTCTTTACTTTCTGGTTTCCTGGCTATTTGAATTTCTTTTTTGGTGATTTCTTCATGCCCCATGACTACTCGAGGCTTCCTCTAATTCCCAGCCCATAAGTCCAAGTTATTAGCAGTCCTAAAATTATTTGGTGTGCTTTGTCCCCCTCATACTCCCACTCCCAGGAGAATGTAGTTCCTTGAGGGCAGAGATTGTTTCTTTTTTTCTTTTTTTGCCTTTTTATCCCTAGAGATTAGTGCATAATAGGTACTTAATAAATATTAGTTGTTAGGTAACTCTTACCAGATGCTACTGAGCCCCTGCCCCTGTTACAGACTTTTTATAGTAAATTCCCATTGAAGAATCTCTCTGTCCTAGTGCAAATCTCTTGCCTTTCTGCAAATTAGAGCCCTAAAGAGTTTCCTCAAGAATTAAGAAGTTAAGTAACTTGCCAGGGTTGCCAGGGTTGCTTCAGAGAAGGGTCTTCCTGACTCCAAGGCCAGCTTTCTTATTCACTACCCCAAAACTGCCTCATTCCATCCTTATTATCTCTAAATAGCAACACTTCCCTGCTCTCAGGATCCTAAGTCACAAATGGTTTTCATGTTTCCAGATCTCTCCTTGAATTTGCTCCTTTGTCTTTAATCTCTAGCTGTACAGTCTGCCTAAGAAACCGACAAGTTCATTGGCTCTCCAATTATAGGTCAACTGAAAAGACATCTCTGTTTTTCCTTATAGTTCTTAATTCTTGTGTAGGTCATCTTGGCTATTATTTCCTGTATAACTTGACTGTCACTTAAAATGAATTCCGGGAAGGGAAGGAGTAATGCACTGGAGAGAGGGGCTGGGGAAAAGGATATTTTCAAATTGGCCAAATTTCTATTCACTGTACTGACATCCTTTCTCCTCTCTCTCTCTCTCTCTCTCTCTCTCTCTCTCTCTCATATGTCTACATATAACAACACACACATATGTAACAAGACATAAAGATGGCCTTGCTCAATCAGTTCTGGTGTCAGCAATTAGGAATTTAGCTAATCTATGTCAAATTTAAATGTGGGACCATGAAGATATTTTTAAGATAATAAATGGGTTTCTGAAAGGTTCTGTCTGGTTCTTTATTTCCTAAAAAATAAAATCTGACACTTTTCAGTATATATTAAATTCACTTTCAAAAACAGAAAGTGAGAATTCAGTAGCTAAAAGTATTAGGCAAGCTAATTTTGTACAATATTTTTCTGCATCAAACTGTATATCATCTCCACTACTAAAAAAAAACCACAACCAATAACAACAACAACAACAACAAAAAACACAGCCAGTTTTAGGCTTAAACTTAAAATATGTATTTTGTGTACTTGTGATTTAAATTGTTTTTGCCCGTTGGTTATTTATATTTTAACTGTGGCTTGATATTCTGTACATATTAGAAATAGATGCCTCTCTAAAATATTTCCTATTCTTTTTTTTCTCTATCAGTAGAAGTTTTTTTGAATTAATGTTTACTCTTTTCACTTCTTCCAGGAGGAAATTTATTTTTTTTTTGTTTTGATATGCTTAATGGGTGCTTTTAAGTAATAATTACTAATTTATTCTATCTCCCTTTTCTGTTTTTCCCTGCTTTTCTCAATTTCTCTTGCTCAGTCACACTGGCATTATCATCTACTGAGGTAAGCATGCTAATGGCATTGACATTTAGTTAAATGTTGTGTTTTCACAGATTTTCTTAGCAATATAGTTCATGGGATAGTTTTCTCCATGTTTGAGCCCTACATTTGGTGTATCCTAATAATATGCATATATGTGATATGGGAAAGCTATGAGGCTCAGTGGATAGGATGTTCAACTTGGAGTTTATCCTCACCTGAGTTCAGATCCTGCCTGGTACTTACTAGCTGTATGACCCTGGGGAAGTAACTTAAACTCTGTTTGCCTAGTTTCCTCATTTATTATTAGCCTCAATATTCCATAGTATTATTAATTCTATTGAAAAATGGGACAAATGTAGTGAGAATCTAAAATATACTACTAAAATGTAATGAGGATCAAATGAGCTTAACACATTTAGTGCTTCATAAATGCTTTCTAGCACTATTATTAAAAAAGAAAATATTTGAATTTCAATGTTTTAGCATAAAACTGACCATGTCTTAATTTATAGACTATTAGTGTTGAAAGGAACTTCAGGAATCCTGTAATCCAACCCCCTAATTTTATATAGGGTAAACAGAGTGTTTTGGACTTGCCTACAGTCATGTGGCTAGTTACAGAGTTAGATTTGAACTCAGGCCTTTTGATTCTAAGGGTTCTTACCACTTTGTAAGTAACACCTTATAGAATCTCAAATTCTGTTACCTTTTCTAAGTTACACAATAACACAGAAAGAAACCAAGGAAATAAACCTATGGTTGCTATAGGAAGAAATAGCCCAAACTTTAGCTTACAGCCTTTTAAGCTTTAGCTTCACTTTCAAGTGAACAAAGGTAGCTATTAATGAGGCTACAGACCACCAATAAGTATGCTTGAATTACATTAGCTGGTATGAGTCAAACATCTCTATAGGTACTCAATTCAGTTAGTCTTTTCTCAGAATCAGACTTAGATAAGGGATCACATCATAACTGTGAAGACCAGAGAACAATTAGTAGGCCTTTAAGATTTTGAGATCCTTATATAGATGCAAAAATTTTAAATAAAATATTAGCAAATATATTACAGCAACTTATCACAAGAATAATACACTATGACCAGGTAGGATTTATACCAGGAATGTAGGGCTGGTTCAATATTAGGAAAACTATCAGCATAATTGATCATATCAACAACAAAGCTAACAGAAATCACATGATCATCTCCATAGATGAAGAAAAAACTTTTTGACAAAATACAATATCCATTCTTATTAAAAACACTTGAGAGCATAGGAATAAATGGAGTCTTCCTTAAAATAATAAGTAACATCTACCTAAAACCTTCAGCAAGCGTCATATGCAATGAGGATAAGCTAGAAGCATTTCCAGTAAGATCGGGGATGAAACAAGAATGTCCATTATCACCACTGTTGTTTAATATGGTACTGGAAACGTTAACTTTAGTAATAAGAGAAGCAAAAGAAATTGAAAGTATTAGAATAGGCAAAAAAGAAACAAGGTTGTCACTCTTTACAGATGATATGATGATATACTTAGAGAATCCTAGAGAATCAAGTAAAAAACTACTTGAAATAATAAACAACTTTAGCAAACTTGCAGGCTGTAAAATAAACCCACATAAATCGTTGGCATTACTATATATTACCAACAAAGCCCAACAGCAAAAGATAGAAAGAGAAATTCCATTTAAAGTTACTGTAGACATTATAAAATATTTAGGAGTCTACCTACCTAAACAAGCCCAGGAACTATATGAACACAATTACAAAACACTTTTCACACAAATAAAGTAAGATCTAAATAATTGGAAAAATATCAGTTGCTCATGGGTAAGCCAAGCTAATATAATAAAAATGACAATTCTACCTAAGCTAATTTACTTATTCAGTTCCATACCAATCAAACTACCAAAAATTATTTTCTAGAGCAAGAAAAAATAATAACAAGATTCATTTGGAATAACAAAAGCTCCAGAATATCAAGGGAACTAATGAAAAGAAATGCAGGGGAAGGTGGCCTAGCCATTCCAGATCTTAAGTTGTATTATAAAGCAGCAATCATCAAAACTACTTGGTACTGACTAAGAAATAGAGTAGTGGATCAGTGGAATAGGTTAGGTATGCAAGACACAGTAGTCAATGACTATACTAATCTACTATTTGATAAACCCAAAGACCCCAACTTCTGGGATAAGAACTCACTCTTTGACAAAAACTGCTGGGAAAATTGGAAAAGAGTATGGCAGAAAGTAGGCATAAGCCAAAATCTCACACCATATACCAAAATAAAGTCAAAATGGGTTCATGATTTAGATATAAAGTCTGATACTATAAGCAAACTGGGAGAGCAAAGAATAGTTTACCTGTCAGATTTATGGAGAACAGAAGAATTTGTGACCAAACAGGAGATAGAGAACATTATGAAATGCAAAATGGATAATTTTGATTACATTAAATTGAAAAGTTTTTGCACAAACAAAGCCAATGTAACCAAAATTAGGAGGGAAGCAGAAAACTGGGAAAGAATTTTTACAATCAGTGTCTCTGATAAGGGCCTCATTTCTAAAATACATAGAGAACTAAGTCAAATTTATAAGAATACAAGTCATTTCCTGGTTGATAAATGGTCAAAGGATATGAACAGGCAGTTTTCAGATGAAGAAAGTAAAGTTATCTATAGTCATATGAAAAAATGCTCTAAACCACTATTGATTAGAGAAATGCAAATCAAAACAACTCTGAGGTACCACATCACACCTATCAGATTGGCCAACATGACAAAACAGGAAAATGATAAATGTTGGAGAAGATGTGGGAAAACTGGAATGTTAATGCGGTGGAGTTGTGAACTGATCCAACCATTCTGGAGAGCAATTTAGAACTATGCCCAAAGGGCTATAAAATATGCATACCCTTTGACCCAGCAATAGCACTTCTAGGGCTATATCCCAAAGAGATCATAAAAATGGGACCCACATGTACAAAAATATTTATAGCAGCTCTTTTTGTGGTGGCAAAGAATTAGAAATTGAGGGAATGCCCATCAATTGGGGAATGGCTGAGCGAGTTGTGGTATATGAATGTAATGGAATACTATTGTACTATAAGAAATGATGAGCAGACAGACTTCAGAAAAAACCTGGAAAGACTTGTATGGACTGATGCTGAATGAAGTGAGCAGAACCAGGAGAATGTTGTACACAGTAACAGCCCCATTGTATGATGACTAACTTTGATAAACTTAGCCCTTCTCAGCAATGCAATGATCTACGACATCTCCAAAAGTCTCATCATGGAAAATGCTATCCACATCCAGAGAAAGAACTATGGAGTTTGAATGCAGATCGAAGCATACTATTTGCTATTTTTTTTTATTTCTGTTTTGTTTCCTCTTTCTGGTGGTTCCTCCTGTTGGTTCTAATTCTTCCTTACAACATGATTAATGTGAAAATATGAAAAAAAAAGATTTTGAGATCATAGATTTATTTGGATGTCACCTCATTTGTCATACAAGGAAACTGAGACCCAGAGAGTTTAAATAGTTTGCCCAAGGTCACAGAGATAACTAGAGACAGAGTAAGGAGTTGAACACAGATCCATCATTCTATCTACTGCTCTGTACTGCCTAACATAGAGAGGGGAAATAGTGAGTATAGGCTTTTCTAGTACTCACAGTATTTATAACTGTATTTAAATACAAAGCTAGACCACTTTGGGATGTATCAAGTTAGTTGTGGAGGACTAGGAGCAGAAACTATACTATCCCCAAAGGGGATGACCCCTTTGGCAGGGCTGCTATAGATGGGATTCCTGCTCAGGTATAGGTAAGATTGGATGACCTCTGAGGTCCAGTTTTTCTTTGAGATGCTGTGATTCTCATTACTCCGCTGGTCTTCTCTGTTACGATAGGATGATGGAGAAGAGCCTTGGTATAGTAAAGCCTGCAAATGTGATTGTCAAGGCAATTCCAATTCATTATGGTCATCTGGAGCAACCAACTTAGGCTGTATGCCAGGTAAGAGTTTATTTCTGTTACTCATTTGATGGTAGGATATCTTTTGAGGGTAGCTATTAGAATAGATAACCATTTTCACTTGTTCTTTAATCCAGTGAAAGTGAATTATCCTGAACCGCTGCCATGCCGAAATTAAGGCTTTCTTCAAATTACATCTGAATTTAATATCTCATAACGTACGTTGCTTTACTGACTCTTCTGATAGGATTGTTAAGAAATGGATTATCAAATCAATACAGCCAGCAGCACTATGGAGGTTTGCATGGTAAAGGTAACATTTAATGTCCTGTAAAATAGGAGCGTGGAGTTTAACTATTCCCCTTCACTGAAGTACTCTGAGGATTGATTGTGGGATGTCTGAAAAGCACTTCTGATTTAAAATTTTTAAAAAAATTGAATGTTGTACCAGACATTTTCAAAAGACCCCAGATTTACCACAAGGGATTAATTAATTCCTTTGGTTTATACATTGCCCTTTCTCTAACATTCTCTTTTAAAACTTCTAGAAAGGGTAACACAGAAATGTTACTACTTTCCAATACCTTAACATAAATTCATCTATCAACTCACTTTTCCCTTGGACTAGAGGGCCCCAGTGCAACATGACTGTGTATTGAATCCAACATGTGGATTCAATATGGAGTAGTGGAGGGCTGAGCTTAGAGCCAAGAAGACATACGTTCAAATCTCTGTTCAGACACTTATGAACTGCATGATCCCGGGCAAGTCACTTAACCTCTCTGGGTCCCAGTTTCCTAATCTGTGAAGTGAGTGGGGAGGGCGGTTGGACTTGATGGTTTCTAAGGCCCTTTCCAGCTCAAATCCTATGAGTCAATGTCACTCTCTTTCTCTGGGTCTTGGTTTCCACATCTGTAAAATGAAGAAGTTGGATCATGTGATGATGTTTGTTTGGTCGTTTCAGTCATGTCTGACCTTTTGTGACCCCATTTAAGGTTTTCTTGTCAGAGATACTGGAGTGGTTTGCCATTTCCTTCTGGAACTCATTTTACAGAGGAGGAAACTGAGGCAAACAGGGGTAAGTGACTTGCCCAGGGTCATACAACTAGTAAGTGTCTAAGTCCAGATTTGAACTTGGGAAGATGAGTCTTCTTGACTCCAGGCTGGGTGCTCCATCCACTGCGCCACCTCCAGCTCTAAAAGTCTATGATTTGGCAGAACATGGGGAGGAAGAGGGTGCTGAGAAAGAAGGACACACAATAGATAAAGCAAAGGTGAACATGCTTCACCAGCAGCACAGATGACCTGGATGGGATTTTCTTAAGGGGAGTGCTAACTACACAAGTAACTTTCCTGCTGGGAAGCCTTTAGACATCTGCTTGCTAATGCACTGTGTCAAAGCCCACTGGGAGCAGAAGGTGACCTGCTAATTGCATTATGGCCACCTAATCTTCAGCTTAGTGTTACTCAGGGTACTCAAATGCAGGCCTTTTCCAAAGCTGAGATAAGCCTACCCAAAATTGCTGCCAAGGTGAAGAGCTGTTTCAATTAAATCTTTTGGCAGAAGGAAGGGGTGTGTGTGTGTGTGTGTGTGTGTGTGTGTGTGTGTGTGTGTGTGTG